AGTGAAAGTTAGTTTACTTAATAAGCCTCTAAAATATTTAGGCCAAGCCTAACAGCTTTTCCACATTCAGAGAGGAAACTTTTGAGCAGCCTCTTTCCCTGGCTAGGGAGCTCAGCATTGACGGCACATACCATCATGCAATATGTAGCAGTTCAGTCATCAAAGAGCATAAGCCTTCTCTAATTTTCCTGCTAGGAGCTGCTGTGGATTATTTTCCTCTTTCGTCTCTGTACGGAGGATGATTGCATGTCTTCAGTTTAAATTTTAGAAATTAATTTAGGGAGAGGAAATAGAAATCTTGAAGTTTTTTAAAAATACTTCTACAGTCAGTTTGCATGTGAACTTACTTACAATTTGGGATAACTGTAAGACCAAATGAAAGATACATTTCATCTCAATTTTTAGCTGTTTCAACTGTTGCTGCCCAAATCACTACTTGATACGTTGTTTTCCTATATCTTGTAGAAAAGAAGAACAAGAATGCAATCATTTCCATGTTAATCCTCTTTAGTTATAGTTGACTTTGAAGTATATCAAGGCAGCTGATCATAGTCTCACTGAGGAAGTAGTTATTGACTTTCTGATCTAGTATCTATCAAACTTAAGTGAATCTACTCATTTGCTAGTAAGTACCCAAAATTAATTCTAATCAGTTATATTAAAGGCATCCCTGGGGTTGTGAGTCTTGTTTGAGGGCAGCAACACTAGTGGATAACATTGCTGACTTCTGAAGAGAACAACTAGTTTTACAGCTCCAGTATTTCTGAGGCTTAGCCAAGAGTAGAGTTATGGTATGACAGTCCATTTTGTGAAACTTAGAGGTTTGTTAGTACTACGTTGAACCAAATCCAGAATCATGTAATGGTTGTCTGGGATCTCCTACACCTCACAGCAGTGCTCCCACCACCAGGTGACAGGTTGCAAAATTCACCTTTTGTTTTCCTCTGGTAAGAATTTCACTGAACCAGAAATATTTTCTTTTTCTGCAGAAAGCATTTGGCATCAGCTAAATGAAATCATGATGAAAGGAAAAAAAGAAAAAAAAGAAAAAAAAAAGGTAGCCAGAAATATTTGACCTTAGTCTTAGTCTTCTAAGTACCATAGGATTTTGTTAACTTTTGAATGACAACAGCTCTCCCAATGAGATAGACATTTATAGCATAGAATCAAACTGAACTCAGTTTTGAATAATCTGGAAATCACATAATCAATTTGTTTGAATCACTGTATCAGTGTTTGTTTTACAGGTAGGAAGGTGTTTTCAGTTCCTAGTTGACATCTGCGGGTTTGGTTTTTTTAAAGATAGTTATTATTTTATGAAAAAAAAAATTAAAGCTGTTGAGGTACTGTTATAAAGCATCAGATAAGGAAAAAAATCAATATATGTCCAATTCATTTATATACATAAAGCACTTCTCTCAAAGTACAGTAACATCTCCTATGAAGGAAGAATAATTAAATGATACATCTCAGCTTAATGTAAAAGTCCTTCAGCTGAGCAATATCATCTCAAATACACTTCCTAGCACTCTTAACAGAGCTAGTGTTTTTAAAAATATTTATGGTTACAAGGGTATCTTTTGAGATACAGAAGGGTAAAATGAAAAGCTTTTGTCTGCACTTGACAGCTTAGTTTCCCATTTCATCTCAGCAACTGACTGCCCTGTGAGGCTCCCCCAGACGTGGGAAGGGGCTTGGATGAAAGTCCTTTAGGTGAGGACTGCTGAGCCCTGGCACAGCCATCCACAGGAGTGCGGCTGCGCAGGTAGGCGCTGAGTTGCTTGCCATCCCTCCTCCTCTTCCCACTTCTGCTTCCAGTCCACATGGATTGCGAAGGGTGGTCCCAGCAGGAGGATGTGATCAAGGAGGCACTCATGCAAAATCACATTGCCTGTATCCTTCTCTCTTCTGAGGATTTTTTTTTTTTAATTCCTCTCATTAGCCAGGGAAAAAGAATAAGCACTGATAAATTTGGGTTCCATACTTATCTGGTAGATAATAAACTTTGCATTCGAAAGGGATGAGGGTAGTAGATTAGAAGCCATGTGCAGTTCAAGGGCATATTTAAGAAGAAGGAAGATCCATTGCCAATTCCACAGGGAAACCTTCATTCTGTTTCACTGTACTAGAAAGGACATCCCGATTTATGCCCTTATGCCACAACTGTTACTTACTGGGGGGGAGAATGGCTGATTACAGTGATTTGCATCTTGGGACATTTTTCTGGGTGAAGTGGAAGCGTGCTCTTTGAGTCCAAAATTGTGTCTTAGCGCAAACTCCAAGTGGAAATTTTTCCAAAATACATTTTAGTGATTTTAACTGATTAAAAATAATAGACCCTATATATCCAGGACATAAGTCATACTGTACTTTAAAGATAACGCAAATTGAAGGAAAAGTGTGAGAAATTCAACAGTTCAGTGTTCGAAAATTTTGCTGCATTTCCAACCTTTTCTCTTTTAATCTTTTTTCCTCTGAAACTAGTATTAAAATCTGGCATTAATCTTGCTAAAGTAAGTATGTGATGATACGAACATTTTTATTAATTTTTACTGCTGGCTGTCATAGTTCCATTCATAAGTTCTTAGAAATTTCTCAATGTACCGGCTCTTCAAACACAGTTACAGCTGGTTTTTGTAGCAATGATAGATTCTTTTCCATTTTTTTTAAATACTGACTTCTAAAACAACTCTAAAGAACAGAAATAATAGTAGTTATTTCCACATCATGTGGAATGCCTTTCAGCTTTTGTTCTCTCACTCTTATTTTCCTGATTTTTTAGATTTCCCTCATTTAGTCTTCAGCAGGTTGGAGGTTTGTTTTGAATTATTTTCTTGGTCCATCCACTTAGTCAGTATGCATACCGTAGTTTTTTAATATATGGTTTTAATTTATGTGGGGATCAAACACTATAGAAATGTTTTTCTTTCTAATGCTGAGAAATGGAAAAGACAGTTGAATTCAGTGATTCTGGCTGTTATTAAGCATTGCTTTCCTGCCTGTGAAGACTTTGGACTTCTGGTGTTTCAAGTTCTGGACCTTTTAAAAGTAGTAAATCATGCATTGTTTGTTAAACAATGGAAAGCAGGGTCTAAAGTATTATTTTGTAAGTAAATGTTAATATCTTTCATTTACTGAATTGAAAGACTAGACAATTTAGAAGTAAGGTGTAAAAAAGCAAGTAAAATTGAGTTAATTATGCTTTCCCTCAATTCATAATGCCACGTATTTGCAGAAAGATATAGTTTTATATTATTTCTAGCCTTCACAATGCAGTGTCTTTCTGATGTTAAATTTATACTAGACATTGTTCAATTGTACTATGTTTGACTTCATTGCTGCAGGACACTGCCACTGTAATATGGTAAATAGTAAGTGCTAAATAATGTTAACATGGCTCACCTTGTTCAGATAGGCTGCTTACGCAAAGCTGAGTTATCCTACCTCCACTGTTGCTCTTGACCTTGATCACACCACCTTTCATGGACTCTTGTCATCTATTGCCTTTCATGGCTCTAGCCTCTTCTATTCCTTCTACTTTTCAGAATGCTTCTTTATAGCAGTTCATTTAGTGCTTAGGCTTGGATCCTCTCTCCTCTTTGCCCTTTCCATTCTTCATTTATACCCATTACTGATTTCTGGTCCCCACTCAATTTCAAACTTCTGTGTTTATATGTGAGTTTTGATCTACCTCTCTGCTTTTAATCTTTCTTCTTGTCCAGTCTCCCACCCCTCATTCTTTTGCTATTTATTCTGTAAACACAAAACTCATGCCAAATTGCTTAATGCTTTTACTTGAAACTTCATGTTGTGTCAGAGTTGGCAGTATCATCATATTCATCTGTGTCAGCATAATCTGTGACAACAGTTTTGGTTTCTCAGTGGTTCAGGCCCTGAACATGTAGGATGTTTTTAAAAACAAACAAATGCAATGCAGGTGTGGATTAATGGTACAAACCTCTAATTGTGAAGCACCTGGGATACAGATATTCAAGAGCAGCAAAGTGTTGTGCCCAAATGAGTGTCACTGAGGAATCTGAGCTCAGCTCTGTCTATGTTGGACAGGAGTGGCACAAAAGAATATCCTGCCATATTCAGTTGACAGATACCATCTCATTCTGTAAATCTGTTGCTAAGAATCTTTGCTGTTTTCTTAAAGAGGGGGAAGGTAGGAGCTAGGAGGCCAGAGAAGGACCTGACATAGTTTAAAAGAGTCTGCAGAGCTATTGGAGCTATAGTTTCTCTGGACTGGTTTGGACTGCAGCATTGCCTAGGATTTCCCTGACACAGGGAAGACCACCACAGCTCCAGCTCTGGTGTGTTAGCCAGCCTCCGGACTTGACTCCTGCAAACACCATATACCAGAGTATTGAAATGCATCCTTGGAGGACAGCACTATAGGTATAGAAGGCAGGAATCTTCTGAAGTGACACTACTGCACTGCTCTTCCTGTCAGATAAGTTTTGCTCAGCCCTGGGTCTTTTAACTAAAAGAAGGGATTGGAAAGGGAATGAAACTTTCAGTCTTTTTCTAAAGAAGAAGAGTGTTGTTCTAGCATCTGCAGTGGCCGTGGGATCAAGACAAAGATTGCTGCACTCCTACCCCAACCCTTTCTGTGAGCTGCAGCAGATTCCCATAAATGTTCTTGAGTGCTTTCCAAAGCATTTGCAGGTTCAAAGACGTATGTAACTCCGTTAGCCACAGAGGCCAATGTTTTCTTCTGGGGGCCAGTAACAGCCTGAGTCCACTGGTACACGGGGGCAGTGGAAGTCCCACGACAGCAGAGCGTTGCTGGGGCCCTCCTGGCAGCAGTGCCAGGCTTGGGCTGGCCTCAAGTCCACAGCTAAAGAGGTCGTCAGCCTCTAGGTCTGGGTGTGAAATTGCCTTTGCAGGTCACGGGGTTTTGTTTTGAGCGCATCAGTCAGAGGTAAGTTGGCAGCGTGGTAGAGGTTAATTAGGGAATTTTCTCTCTTTACCTTTTTTTTCTATTGATGTTGCAGGAAATATTCAGGAAGTCATATTACAAGAACACTTGGAAAAAGAGGATGAAATTCTGGTTTCCTTGGCTGGTTTGAAGCAGGTATAACTATTGCTTAGCTCAACCTTCTTGTACCCTTCAGTGCTATTAAACCTTTCTTTTTTTTCTCCTTTTTGCTGTTTTGTCTTGTTGTAGCTGTTTTTCTAATACTAATGCATCAAGCATTGTGGTGTACTTTTATTTAAAAAGGTAAAGCCCAGCTATAAAGAGTTCAAATGACTTGCATGGTATTTGCTCCCTGAAGAGTTCTGGAGGCCTTGAACCAGAACGGAGGCAGTGCGACACCGAGTTCTGGACTTAAGCCACACCGTCGTTTTTCGTAATGCAAAATGTACATGCTAGGCAATAATCATGCCTATGGCCCCATTATTTCAATGCGACGACACTTGAATGTCATTGAATTAAAAGAAAAAATACTGCGTACATAAAATGAGAATGCTGCTGAGCATCTGTAGCTCTGATTATACTGCCCTCTGCTCCTTCAAAATACATTTTATGAGGAACAATGTGACATATGTTAAACCTGTAATGAGGTAGGGAATAATCTTAACAGTTTCATTTGCTTCAGATTTCTTGGCTAGTTGTTCTCCAGACTCTGATACAGCCACATTCCACTGATATTTATTTATTTAAGCAATATAGATAGGAATATTGATCTGCTTCCTAACTCTTCAAAGCAAATATTTTGGGGAAATGGTGTATGAAAGCATGCCACACAGAGCTTTAGAAAACTTAGAATTCCTCCAAATTTCTAACTTACATCCTTTCCTCTCCTATTCAACAACAGATCAAGGATATCCTGAAAGGTTCATTGCGTTTCAACCAGAGCCAGCTGGAAGCTGAAGAAAATGAGCAAATCACTATAGCCGATGATCATTACTGTTCCAACAGTCAGAACAAGGGGACAGGTGATGTCCTAAAAGGACCTGTTATGACAAAGCAACAGTTCGTCTCAGGACGACAGGTAAGATAAAAACATCCCAAACAGAACATTGATGGAATTAGCCTTATATTTTTTTAAGACTTCCTTTAGCATGTTCAGACACAACATGGGAACACAGCAGCATCCCCGGTATTTACAGAGCCATGGTTAAAAGTGTCTCTCTAGCTATTGTCCTACTCCCATCAAATATTTTTATTGTAGCCTTATGCTCCACACACAGATATTTAAGTCTAAGTGTTATGCAGTGTTTTGGGGGGGGGGGGGGGGGTTTTTTTTCAGTTTCACAGATTAATTTCCTACAAAAAGATGTAAAAACTGGAGGTAAATGTTCCCATATCCAGTGTTTCCATACGATTATTCTCATTGCCCTTGTCCTCCAGAATCCCATTATGTAAGAGCTGATTATCTGCATTGCAGTGTATTCATGGCCAGTGCCAAAAAGGAAATAGCGAGGTGGTTGCTTTTACCTTCTACTCCATTGTATTGAGTTTCTCCTTGAATCAGTAAACAATGTTTTCACATACAAGGCATACAGTCACAGGACAAGTTCATACACAGAAAGAGGTATTTTCCTTTCATGTTAAAAGGTCCCTCTGTCTGAGACTCAGTCTGACTCAAATGTGATCTTAGAAACAATTACTTTTGTACATGTACATTTCTATATTGGAGTTCTTTTAAGTCTGCCACCCCACTACTGATACTCACACTTGTAAATCAGTGGCAGCACTATCACCTCACAGTAGTAACTGAGTCGTCCATCAGTTTACTTTTGACAAGTTTACTTAGGAACTACAGGAAATATTTATTCATTTTCAAATAATGACACAGGGTCATTTTGATTTATTAAACACAATCCCCCTGAGTCAGAACACTCTATGTTAAAAATCATATTTTAATTTTATTTCAGTATTAGAAGCAATACCGAGATATTTTTTTTTCTTACTTAGTAATGGCAGGTTCAAAGAGCAAAGCTTTGCTAGATAGTTTCCATTGCTTGTTTAGCTGTTGTCATTACAATCACTACTTTCTGCCATAATAAAGCCATAGGTTAAACTGATATAGCATATTGGAGTGTTCATATAATGACCTCCTATTTTTGCCCTTTATCTCCTAGTGTTTTATACAAAGTACCTTCTGCTTTCTTGCCAAAATGGCAAATAGTAGTTTTTTGATGATTTTTACTTGGATTTATTCTAGAAACTGAAGGTAGAATGCCATATAAAATGACGACATGCTGTATGAGTGTGTGCAGACCCTACTTGTGCTGGAGAAGCCCTTACTCAGATGCTGGTCTGAACCACCAGTGTGTCACTGAGCGGAGGCGCTGGGCTTTGCACTTTGAGCGTTGAGTGGAGCAGGTGAAGCCTGGTCTGTGCAGGTTTCTTTCCAGTGGAAACTTTTGGGGCAATGTGTAATGAGGTCTGGTATTACCCCAGTGTGTAGTCAGGGTATATACATCCAGCCACAGGAACAGAGAGGGGTCGGTGGGTCCCACAATTTCAGAGGCTGCTAGTAAGCGAACGATGAGCAATGTGAGTAGAGGTTGTACAAGCTGAGCTCCTGCAGAGTATTAATGAGGCTTCAGCACTGCATGGTTTACGTTTGGAGGTACAGTATATTCATACAGATTAGCCTTCTCTCCTCTTATCTTCTGGAAGTTCCAATTACAGCAATGAGCAACAGCCCCTTTGACAGAAAGAAAGAGAAAAGATTAGGGTTAGAAACGGCAATCCAGGAGGACTGTTAGTATCCCAGTGGGCTGTGCTCTTTCCGAGCCCATCGCCTTTAACCGCTGTGTCTAAAATCAAACAAAAATAGGAGAGCTTTGGAACCCTTTTAATAAAAACATGGGAAAATAAAACTGCTGAGTTTAGTGGGCTATGACATTCAACTGTTAATTGATGCGGTCAATTGTTGGCCCAAACCGGGCCACGGCCCAGGCTTTTAGCTCTGCTGAAGAAAATGGGCTGCACTGATGCCCTGGGTCAAGCCTGGAGTATTTAATGAGAGCTGCAGAGGGATTAAAAATGTCAACCACTTCTAGACCATTTAATACATTTCTTGCTAAATAAATTTTACTGTATTTACATTTTCTGTAACTTTGGTAATATGTGTAATTCTGTTTGATGTGACATACTGTTGAGATTTTTCTCCAGTGGAATTATAGTGATATTTTCTAGGACAGCTGGAAAAGTTACAGGTGTAGCTATTGTGTAATTGAGATTAAAATCTGGTCTTTTGTCCTTGGTTGTTATGTAAGTATAAATTATTTATCATCTTTACTTTTTTAAAAAGTGCTCTTCCTCTTTTTTGCCTCAAAATCCCTTTCTTGAAAGTGATGATAAGGATACAGCCCTTCTTTGGAAAGGAAAGCTGCAAAATTAAAATGCAAAAAAATTAAGATAAAGGCTGAAAGAAATGGAGCATTTTTTTGAATGTTTGGCTTTGGTAGCAGCATGCAGTTGACAAACAGAAGGCTTCTGTTGCTAAATAATGAATGATAATTAACACATTATCTTGCCTTTATGTCTGTTCAAAGAAGGAGGCAAAATGAGCTGCTTTTCTTCTAAGCTTTCTTGAATCATATCCTTACAGTTAGTTTTAACTCATTCACAGTATGAAGGCAATTGAAATAAGCCTGGTCCTAGTAGCTGATATTCATCAGGAAAAAATGTTTGGAGAAGCCATATGGCAACGGGCGTAAGGTTGTTAACTTTCAAAGCTACTGGAAGTATAATTCTGTCATTTTTCATTTATTCAGTAGTGGCAGCAGATGGGAGAAAACATGGTTCACGTCAGCATGAGTTTCCTGAAACAGAAACAGGGAGAAGAAGATTGGAGGAGGTATTTTACCTCTGGAAATATCAGTACCAAAATACCAATGTATGCCAGGGATAGGCAAACATTTACAGGAGGCCCTTTTTTAGCATTTTGGAGTCAATATCTGTGCTTTGCTGCTTCTCTGATACTTAAGTGAGCTATAGGTCTCTTTAACTGAACCAAAAAGTGTGGGTAGACCAAAGTAGTGTTGCAAAGCACAACACTAACGACAAGAAATTGGGATGAGTAGTTTTCTTTCCTTTCTCTTTATTAAAGGGCAGGGTGCTTTTTTAACTGCACAAGAGCACATTTTTGGAAGCAGAATTTAGGAAATTGCAACACCAGTGCAAAGTGTTTATGACGGAGGGCCCTTGCTGGGGCTCACTGCCAAAAGGAAGACACCCCGTTAGCATCCTTGAGGGTGCCAGTGAGGAAAATACTGATCTTGCCGGGCAAGTGTGTCACTAGGCAACATCTGTGTCACCCTACGCAAGGTGGAGCCATCTCAGATGTGAGGGCTGCAAGGACTGAAATAGCATGGTCTTGATAGCTTGGAATAATAAAGTGTATAATTTTGCAAAATGAGACTGTACTGTGTTCCCTGAGAGCTCTTAAATAGAAGTGTGGAAAGAAGCCAGGTGAATTATGCAGCAGTGGTTGTTTAAAGGAATGTATATTTCTGTTGTACAGGGCGGGGGGTGGGGCAAAGTGCTGAAATTTTGAAGGTGGCATTTAGAGCTCTCAAAAAAGCTTCACCCGGCCCTGTCTTGTGGCTGCACTGGGTGCCTACAAAATCAGGCAACTACTAACGTGAACCTCATGAGGTTCAGCAAGGCCAAGTGAGAGGTCCTGCACCTGGGTCGGGGCAACCCCCAGTATCAATACAGGCTGGGGGATGAAGGGATTGAGAGCAGCCCTGCTGAGAAGGACTTGGGGGTACTGGTGGATGAAAAGCTGGACATGAGCCGGCAATGTTCACTCACGAGCCCAGAAGGCCAACCATATCCTGGGCTGCATCAAAAGCAGCGTGGCCAGCAGGTCGAGGGAGGTGGTCCTGCCCCTCTACTCCGCTCTGGTGAGACCCCACCTGCAGTACTGCGTCCGGCTCTGGAGCCCTCAGCACAGGAAAGACATGGACCTGTTGGAGCGGGTCCAGAGGAGGGCCACAAAAATGATCAGAGGGCTGGAACACCTCTCCTGTGAGGAAAGGCTGAGAGAGTTGGCATTGTTCAGCCTGGAGAAGAGAAGGCTCCAGGGAGAGCTTATTGGGGCTTTTCAGCACTTAAAGGGGGCTTATAAGAAAGATGGGGACAAACTTTTTAGCAGGGCCTGTTGCAATAGGACAAGGGGTAATGGTTTTAAACTAAAAGAGGGTAGATTTAGACTAGATGTAAGGAAGAAATTTTTTGCAATGAGGGTAGTGAAACAGTGGAACACGTTGCCTGGAGAGGTGGTGGATGCCCCATCCCTAGAAATGTTCAAGGTCAGGTTGGACGGGGGCTCTGAGCGACCTGATTTAGTTGAAGATGTCCTTGCTTACTGCTGGGGGGTTGGACTAGATGACCTTTAAAGGTCCCTTCCAACCCAAACTATTCTACGATTCGGTGTTGGTGGAGCAGAGACACGGTTGTGTGCTGCCTGGGTCTTCAGCCCCCTGGAGATGGCAGCTGATTGACTGACAGCTCATTAATTCAGCATTTCAAACAGACCACATGAAAGCAAAAGTCTAATTAATAACAAATGATGTCTCAGCTCAGAAGTCCTTAAATAGTGAAGTATCTTTCCTTGTAGGATAGATCTGTTTGTTTTTAACTTCATGGAAACTGCCTGAAGTTGTTGACAATTTGAACTACCCTGGTTCTGCACAGATCAGGAAGTTTGAGAACAATTTTGATAGGACTCAGCACAGGATAGTGATTGATATTTCTAAAAGCAATCTGCTCGGTTTGTTATGAATTTTACGAAGTCATCTGAGGAAAATGAATTAGTATCAAAAAATAATAGATGTAAAGTTCTATCAGTTTGACAACTGTCTTACATTGGGAATTTGTAACCTTTAAAATTGTAACCAATACTCTGGACTTAAGATATTTCCATTTGAAAAAGTATTAAAATGGGTTAATTACAAAACAGAATACTACATATTATTCTACCTAGATAATAATATAACATTATTGTACCTAGATACTATGTAGATAACACACAAAAAATTAAAAATTATAGAAACAGGATGTTTTAAAAATTTACTGCACAGGCAGTTATTTGAATCCTTGTTCATACAAATTTTGGAAGGGAACAGGTCTCAATTCTGTATTTGAAGATATTTTCACATTCAGCTGATATTTATCTTGTTTGTGACTGTTAACAACTTGTTAACGGCTGTGTAAATAACAACCAAAGACTTCCAGCTCCCTCATTTCATATTACAGTCATTCGTAATCACTGGTGGGTTTTGCTCCCTGAGCTACTCTACAGTTCCCCTTCAAGAACGTTCTGATCTATAATCAGTAACCAGCACAATGGGAAATTGTTTTCAGCTGTAATAATAAATGTGGCAAAGTAAGTTTTGCTGGAGGCCATGGATTCCGTAACCCCAAGTTGTGGCTTGCTGATACTTGTGATGACCTCCATACTCCAATTTTATATACTGTGCTGAGGGTCTAACTTTATCTCATTCAGATTATTCCTGTTGTTCTTTTTTGTAACTGCTGTCTTTTTTTCTCTAATACCTACATACTAGTACCTAATCCTCTTTTACTCCAAAATGAATTTACATTTTTTTGTTTGGTGAAAGGATCACAGCTGAAGGGCTTGTAGTCGACACACATGTTGACATACACATTTCTCCTGCTGCCCCTCTACTTCTCCTTTTTCTCAGTCTCGCATTAGTGTAGTCAAATATATTGGTTTCAATATCGCACCACCTCAGGATGCTTGTTCCCACAGGCTGCTTGGCAGGTTGTGTTATTACTCTGAAAAAATTTGTGAGAGAGCGGCTAAGAAACCAGTCCTATTCTTGTTATAGGAACATAGCGCTAGATACAAGTTGAATGCATCTCTTGCAGGAGAAAACAAAGTGTTGTCTATTTGGGTTGCAGCCAAGCTAATAGGCTGCCATTTGTCAACAAGTGAGAAATTGCACTGGGTTTCTCCTGGATATGGCTATTTGGAATATAAGATTGTGAGTTCATAGAGAGTTTTCTGGTACACTGACGTGTAGTCTTGATCCACTACCTGAGTGCTCAGGGACACACATTTCCCAAGGTCTAACCAGACAGAAGAGGGATTCCCAGACCCTCATTTTTTGGTAGAGTTAGGAAATCCTCAATGGCACTAAGCCTAGAAGCCCTGGGAGCCCAGATCTGTCAAACCCAAACTGGTGCATGCTAAACCAGGTCTATATATGGCTCAGATTCCACAGGTCAGGGTTTTACTAGAAAATTTTGTATCAAACCATTCTCCTGACAAGCTCCAAAATGCCATTGTACATGCAAACCAGCAAAAAATTCCTCTGTACTTCATTAATTACTGTGGAAAACTAACAGCAGTGAGAATATAATTACTGAAAATGTTCATGACTGTAATGTATGTGTTAGATGCCTAGCTGTTGTGATCGCTACATGGATGCACTATGATGATGAAAAATGTAAGACTGCTATACCAAATAATGTATTTTTAGGGTGTTAGGTTTTATGCTTTTGTAAATAACAAATAAATTATTTCATCCAAAGTTAATACCCACTTTATTTTTTACTTCTTGATTTGGGCATTGCTACTTTTGGATGATTATTCCTTTATCCCATTCCTATATCACTGACATGCATCATAAACCTCGTTAAGTGGTAAAAGTAGTACTATAAGTCCTTTCTGTGCTGTTGTCTCACAGACTACGACTGACTCGAGCACCAGTGAGAACAAGAGTGCTGATGACTATATTATGGTTTCCAAAGAAGAGGAAGGAAGTAGAAGTGCTGTCCCGGAGCCAGTGCAGTCCCTTCAGGCACACAAGGAGGCACCAGCGAAGCCAGAAGCTCCATCTCGTTCAGCTTTGATATTCTCTGACCCACTGATGGGCTCCATTTCACCCTCCTCCAGCAACCTGAGCTCCAGCCCTGACGACGACAGTAGTAATAACAGCAAAGATTCAGACTTTGCTATTGTCAGCCCACTGGACATCTAAAGAAACAGCTTGGGAGAGTTTGGGAGGTCGATCATTACAACTCAGCTCAAATTCCTATGATTCACGGGCTGGATAGTTCTTTGGATTAGAAGGACAGAAAACAGATAAAGGTAACCCATTTCTGCTGCAAAAAGCCTAAATTAAAAAAAATTAAAATAAAAAAAAGCCAAAACCCACAAATTTGCAACTTCTCAAAAAGAATAGTCACCTTTTAATAACTGCCTTAAATAAAGACCCAGTAAAACCCAGTTCTAATATACAGTTACTCTTAATTATATGCTTATCTTAGGAGCTTTGTTACTATAGAACAGTTGCTTTCCCAAAACATAGAATAGTATGTGCTAGGTACCATAATGGGTTAGGAAATGTGTAGATACTTGGCATCAGACCTGAAGCAGCAAAGACAAGCTAGATTTAATATTGTCCTTTTACAAAACATGCTCGACTGGGTTTTCTGAGTAGGAAAGGGTACTGTTTCTTCAGAGACTGTGATTAGAGAAGTAGAGAATGTATATCAGAAAGATTAAAAGCATCATCCTGGCAGTAAGCTTGTTCTCAGTTGAGGAATCCTAGTTTCTTCATTTTCATCCAGCAGTAGCCTGAGGTGTGTTCAAGGCAGAGGTTTGTGTAGTTGTTCCTCAGCGCTGTCTTACAGGAGAATGTCTGACAAATTCCTTGAGAACGGGGACCTATATAACAAAGCCTTATTTCCCTTTGCCTACTTTTTTTCCCCTTGAGAGTTTCCAGTTCACCTCTTTCCCTCTCTATATCTGTCTACTTTTACTCCTTCTGGCATGAATTATTTTTTATTTTACTGAGACTACCATGGTTAAAACAGTAGGTGCAAGGGAAATTACAGTATTTCATAGTGTAGACCTGAGCCAGCTGAACTAAAACTAGCTTGAGATAACTTACCAGGGAAGGGTGCAAAGTGAAATGAAATGTCCATAATTAAAAGCACTTTATGTCTCATTACTATTATCTTCTATAGACTCTGTTTACATATATTCCTATGCGATTTCCAGATTTCTAGTCAAGAAAAACATAATGGTGCAGCAGCGTTAACCAACAGAAAGTTTCTAATTAACTCTAGAACTCGTTATTCTATGGAAAAGTGTCTTTCTTTCCCATCAAGTACATAGTACATCTAATAACAGTTTTTTCAAGTAGATAAGGGGGGAGTGGTTTGTACTCTCTGATCCCTTTAAACTCTGTTGGAATTCACAAAAGGAGACTGGTGGTGAGCGGACACCTCCTCTTGCAGGACCTACACAGAGCTAGCTTGAGGAAGGAATGCTAGAAAGTCACTCCATAACAGCAGCAAAAAAAAATTGCATTATTTACTTTCTAGACACATATACATTATACTATGCCACCACTTCATAATTGCATGGCAAAGCTTGTGTTTGTATGGAGTTAAGAAATGGTAGTTATTTGCTGCTTAGTCTGTAATTGTAAATGGAGTTAAGTACCATATTCCAAAGATGAGGAGACATGTAGTTTGTTGGTCTTAGATTTTACAAGGTCTGTGTCAGTTGCTGAACTGAAGAGATAATTGTCATGTAATTACATGGTAGCTGCCATATCCTTATATGTTCAAAAGCCGCCAAGTAGTTCTTCTGAGATTATTTGTGCCTTGTAAAATGATAAAATACTAGAATGTTATGAGCAGGCATAGCATCATACTTCTCTGCGACAGAGTGATATTAAGAGTCAGATGACTGTTTAGATGAAAGATCTTAAATGCATAACATTTCAGAGAGATGTTTATTTTGGTTTAATTTTAAGCTTCATAGAAAATCACTTTGGAATTCAGCATGCATGTCTGTCTTCAGGTTTATTTTATTTCCCCGACTTTGCATGATTGCCAGGGGATTAGGTGGCTGTTGATTTATTTAGGTCTTTCAAGCTTTTTTAGCCTTAACTCATTCAGCAAGGCTTGTGCCACACCACCCACAAAGGGGAATCTGTTCAAGAAGTACTTATGGAAAGAGGAAAGAAATATTCTGGGGACAGAGAGAAAAGTTTTATATTCTGTGATACATAAACCTTCAAAGATTCCAGTACTTTGGCAGGGGAAAATATTTTTACTTCTTTTTTATTTTTTTTAAGCATCAGTCTTTTGATTTCTGTTCTGATTGTTTATTTCAGGGATCACATTACTATTTTCTTGAACAGTCTCGTTGCCAATGGGAAAGTGTGATTTGTACAGTTCTTTTATTTTTGTAAGATAGTTGTATCTCTAATATTGCATATTTTAAAACAGCACTAAAAGTATATAAAGATTTGGGGAGTTTCTAACAAGTTTTCACTAATCAGTGAATACCGATGAGCTGAATGCCTATCATGCCATGGGATATGATAAAAGTCTTCAGAAGCAAAGAGATGATTATACAAATAAGATCAGAGTGAATTCCAGTAAATTAATCTACTTTGATTATACCATTTCCTTCCACATCTCAAATATGTTGTCTCTGATACTTGATCATAGTGCGGAGATAGTTAGAATTTTGTATATTCATTAAGTTAGAAACTTGTAAGTTAGACAAAATGTCAAATCATCACCCTGTCTTGCATTATGTTAAGTATATACAGAGAAAGAAATTGTCATTTAAAATACAGATTATTCTTTTTCTCTGAAGATGACCTGCTCATAATGTTCATGGATAACAGTAATCAGATAGAAAAATTACATGCATTGCAAATTACTGATGAAACCTAATATGGGATTAAGATATGTATCTGAGACTGTTGTACTGTATCTCACAACTGTAATTTATGACTGTTTAAAGACTTTTGCATGTCATGTCAGTTGTATGTACTGCAGAAAGGCAGTATCATATTTTGACTGGGTATTCATTTAGTCGTGGAACTTTGTATCTTTACTCTGGAAGAACACCTAGCCCACTTTATTAAAGAGAGAATTAACAAATTTTCTGGGCTGTGCTTGTGCTGTTTTCTCAAAAAAGGGAAAACTTTTTGACTAGAATACTGGAAGTATGATTTCTGAGAACTTATTAAAAATTTTAAAACTATCTCATTAACTATATAAGCACAAAGATTATTAATATTTTAATCAGATTTTATATATATGATCTAGGGAATAAAACTGCTTGTCATTTCTCTCACCCAAACAACACAGAACATTTCCTATTTTACCATATTTATTCTATCTGAAAATGACAAACCAGAATTTAACGTGGTATAACTTTTCTGCAATTTCATGAAACTTGGTATAGTTACATCATCATGTCTCAGTCACAGTGCCAGTATCTGTACAGTACTTTTCTGAAACTCAGTATATTATTTCACATTCTCCAGTATGTTCTCCTCATTAGATGGCACTGAGGCAGCTATTTAAAAGATTAAATTTCAGATTTAAGGTGTACTTGTGCCTGGCAGTTACAGTGTCACCTGTTCAAATACGGACAGCAATCCTAACATGAACAGATTTCTGAGTTCTGGGTGTCAGCCCTTAAGTAATACTTTTGATTTTGTGCTGCATGTGTTGGTCTTGAGTGAATGTCTGTAATGGTTTATTAGACTTGAAAAGGTGCGATTTCATAAAATAAACTTCATTTGGCTATGGAATAGTAATTACACTGTCTCATAATCTGTGCTGTTCTTTTAAGAGTGATTATATACAGTCTCTGCATTAGTGTTTCCTGTGTCACTGAATCTGCTAGACTCCCACTTTAGTAGCTAGCTAAATTTAGAGATGAAAGAGCATGAAAGAAGGTCATGAGAGAAACAGCAACTTGAAATGTGCACACAGGCAACTTGTTTGCCTGCTGCTCGCAATATATTTAACCGCTAAAATGGTGAGGGAGGTTTTAGTTATGTGGGAGGATCCTGCAAGAGGCAAAGTGTATAACCCTAGGAACAGACGATGAGCCGGAAGGGATGCAGTGTGAGACTCTCTTAAACTACAGATTCTTTACAGCAGGAATCATCTTTTTCTCTGAGCTTCTAGCATAGTTTGCCATGATCACAAAAGCTGTCAAAATTAGGATAATAATAATAATAATATACTCATTATTTCACCAGGTTTTGCTCTTTCGGTGAGCTAGATGTAATCCAATAATAATAGCTCAGCTGATAGCAGTAGTATTGTATCAGAGAAATTTGGTCCCGGACTGCTGAAATAAGTAAGTGTGACTGAAGAGCAGTAGCTTAAATAAATAAATTAATACCAAAAAAACCCCACACCAGAAACAGGACAACAATGTTGCCAAATGCAAAAAGCTATATTTGTCTCCACACATATATGAAGTATAAGAAGTATTTTCTAAAAATGTGCTTCAGGTAGCACTTGTGTACCTTGTTTGACTATGCCAGGTAGGTTCGTGCAACCCTATCTTTGTCTTTAACTTGCAAAAGCCTAGCTGATGCTGAGATGCAGGAAGCATTAAAATATATCAGCTGCAAAGGGAAAACACTGTGGTTCCATTTCTATGAATGGTAAGAATTTGATCCTTCAAATCCCACTGATTTTACACTTTCACTGTCTTCCATGGTGACAACATGAAACACCCTGTAAGCATTTCCAGAGACCTGATGGGAACTCTGCTGCTTAAGTCATCATATGCAGTCGCAGAGCTCTGAGCTGAGAAAGTTTTCACAGCTTTGCCTTTCACTGTGAGCTTAAGGGACTGTGGCAAGGTTAGGTTTGTCTGAATTTTTAACTAGTACAAAGAAGCATTCAAAGATGCTATAAATTATCATGTCAGTATTTGAGACCTTTTGGAATATAAATTGCTACATAGTTTTGAGATGGAAGAATAGTTGTCACAATATCTTGATTTCCCACCTGCTGTGTTAATTGAATCCACGGGATGGGGAATGTAGTAGCAATTTCAAATCAGCATTAAATTCCCCTTTAAAATATGAGAAAATATCAAGCAAACATATTAAAAAGCAGATTGTCAGAGGTGTCATATAGCTTGCAGGATAAGATATACCTCTGTGCAATACTTGGGAACATGCATCATTTTTATCCATAAATAGGGAGACTTGCAACAGCCTGGAACATGTGGCAGAAAATGTATATGAATGTGAGGCTATTTTTAAAGCTACAAGGGTTA